CGTGCGTGCGTGCGTGCGTGCGTGCGTGCGTGCGTGCGTGCGTGCGTGCGTGCGTGCGTGCATGCGTGAGTCAGTGAGTGAGTGTGTGCGCACGCCCGTGTGTGTGTTTGCATCGATCATGCTGCTAGTTTATATGTTATTGTATCTAGCAGTGCAACCAGGACTGAAGGCAGAGCAGCAGTTAATAATAGCAATGCACAGACGCATGCGGGTCTATTGATGCGAGGAGACTTTGTGAAGCAGCTAGTGGGCTGGCCACAGTTTGCACGTACCAATAACGAGCAGGGTCAGTGCACGATGAGACCTGGCAGGGGTGTCTGGCATCGAGTGTAGCATGATGGAGGCATTTTGAGACCTCGCTTATTAGCGTGAAACAGCCACGTACATCAAATGGATGGCCATAGAATAATATACATGTATGGTAATAATATACATGTATGGTTTCAGTCATAACTCAGGACATTACGTACATGTGTGACAGCATTCAGCGCGAACGTTCCAAAAATGTTGTAGTGTGAAATTAGATGTAAGCTACGTGTCCTGCTTGGTGTGCAGGTTTACTTATCCCTTAGTTCTAACACTGTTGTCTGTAATTATGGCCAATATTGCATATATATATATCCTACTGCTATTCTCGACATGAAACATGTATTTTGTGTGCAGGATGCGCAATCAATTTAGCATACAGCTGAGTGATGTAAGCTTAACATTTTTCGTGGAAAAGGTTATTTTAAAAGTATCTGTAATAATATTCAGACTAGAGATGGCACCAGAACGGTTAACGTGATAAGTAAGTCTACTCGAGTACTCCTAGTTTTGGAAACCTGTGTTGCGTAAGTTCAGTATTGAGTGTCACATGTGCTAGTGTCTCACTGATAATGTGATCACTACTAGTCGTCAACCAGCGAGAGATGTAGTCATCATTACTATCTCACGTTCGTCGTCGCAGGACGTGGATAGAGTTCAGGACGAACATCCATCTAGTAGGTGTGTAATGACGAGGAGATGCATGCCGATCAAATCAGTCTCGGTTTATTTCCTTTCACTCGCTGCTCACAACTAGCAACGTCGCGCTGACAAAAGTGCTGCATTGCAGCCGAAGATGGTCTGTTGTTATTCGAGCATTGGCGCCCTCTAGTGAGCGCTCGGCTAAGCGCGCTAATGACATCACAGCTCACGTCGGCCATCTTCACTTGTGTTGTGTTGTGTGTTGTGTTCTGGCTGTTGTAGTGTTGGAAACAGAATGGCGGTGGTCAGTACGTTGTGATGGACACGTGCCAGCACAGTGTTGCCGAGTGATTTTGCTGTCGAACGCACAGGACGAGAGGGCTCGCTGTAGGTTTGTGCGTGCTTGCATAAATTGCAAGAACCCTAAGTTGAACGTGCCACATTTAATCTCTGCCGTTTGATGGCAGGTGCAACAGTGTCTGGTAGGAGTGTTGTGCGTGGGTGGGTAGTGGTGGTGCTGGTGCTGGTGGTGGTGGGTGGGGGGGGGTTACCCTGATCAGCACATGGCTGTCAGCAGGGCTGTCAGTGTGGGAGCTGCAGCAGGCTACATTTGGTTCGTTGACCTATATGCAAGTAATACTTGGCCAACGGTTGTGGCTAGCAGCCATGTAACCTGCAATGTGTGTGCATGCGTGTGTGTGTGGGCATACGAGTGCATGCGAGTACGTGCAAGTTCGAACGGAGGCATGAGTGTGCGCGCGAGAGTGTGCCTGTGTGAGTGCCAGTGTATGTGTCTGTGTGCAAGTGCGAACGGAGGCGTGAGTGTGCGTGCAAGAGTGCAAGTGTGTCTGTGACTGTGTGCGCACATGATGGTGCTCATGTCAGTTTGTGTGTGTTTGTGTACGTGCATGCATGCGCCTCGTTTGTGTCACATGCTGATATGTCCTTGTTGTAAGTGCATGCATGTACATGGCAGATGTAAACATACAGGGATCACACATAGCCGATCCTATATTTTGATCAACATATCAGAACAAATCGAACATATTTATACCTAACTTTAAGAGCTCCTGATAGTACAATTCTCCCTTTAACCCAATATATAAGTTTTGCTCTATGTCTGTTGATATAATCGAATAAATAGCCAGATGTGTCTAGGTACTAGAACCGCTAGTCGCGTAAGTTTATAACCACCGGCGATCGGTTTGTTGCGACTATATTGATCAACATATCAGAACAAATCGAACATCTCTAGGTTCTAGAACCGCGAGGCACCCAAGTTGGGGCATGTATACATTAGGTGACACAGGCCTTGTTACTTATGTCAGGGATAGCGATGGTGGAGCACGCCGTCAATGCTTAAAGGAAAATCCTAACTTCATGCAGAGACAGTTGTTTGGGATAGACGTATCGCATCTAAGAGGATTCGTGTAGAGGGTCATTGGTCCAAGCAAGACATTTAAAATATTAAAAAGAGATCTGCCCCATCAGAAAATTTCT